AGTAGGCAGAGGGCTCTGAAACTTTTCCCACACCTGTGCCTTACGCAATTCTTCCAACTGCCATGTTCCTATGTAATAAACCAGTGATCTAGTGAGTAAGTGGGTTTCCTGATTCCCATGAGCTGCTGTAGCAAATTAAGGGGGCAAGGTGTGTCCTAGGACCCTCTCATTAATGGGTGGTGGTCAGAGCACTTTGTGACTGGCATCTGAAGTGGAGGGCAGTAGTCTTGGGAGACTGAGCTCTTAACCTGTGGAATCTGATATTCTCTGGGTAGATAGTGTCAGAACTGAGTTAAATTCTCTGGATACATGCTGGTATTTGAGAAGTGCTTGTTTGTGTGGGGAATCTACACACACACTCAACACTGGAGTTCCATACAGGAACCCTATTAACTAGTGAATGGGAAATGTAAATCAAAGATCTTATACTTACTGGAATGGTTATCATTAAAAAAAGATAGATAATAAGTGTTGACAAGGAAAAAGAGAAATTGGATTCTTCATACATTGCCAATAGAAATGTAAAATGGTGCAGCCACATTGGCAATTTCCTGAGAAGTTCAGCATAGAATTACCACAAGTCTTAGCAATCCCACTTTTGGGATTGCCAAGAGAAATAAAGATACATCTCCGCAAAAACCTGTACATAAGAATTCATAGCAGCATTATTCCTAAAAGCCAAAAAGTGGGATCAACCCAAATATCTATCAACTAATAAACAAATAAATGAAGGAGTAAATGCAGCATGTTCACACCATGGAGTGTGTCTGGCAATAAAAAGAAGTGAAGTATTAAAACATGCTACAGTGAGAATGAACCTCGGAAGCATCACACTAATGAAAGATGCCAGTCACAAAAACACACATATGGTATTATTCCATTTATACAAATCCAGAAGAAGCAAATTTATAGAGGCAGAAGGGTAGATTAGAGTTGATTACGGTTGGGGACAGGAGAAAAGGGAGTGACTGCTAATGCACATAGATTTCTTTGGGGGATGTTCTGAAATTAGATGTGGTGATGTTTGCACAACCTGTGAATATACTAACAGCCATTGAACTGTGCACTGATCTCTGCCTTTCTGGTACACAGTAAACATTTAATAAGTATTGGTTCTTCTTTCTTCAAAGTTCTTTCTAGATAAATCTCGACTCTCCCAGCACAGGGAGGAGAGTTATAATAGCACATATCACCATGAGCTCTGCTAATGCTGCCCTGGAGCTTGCCTGCAGAGGTATATCCTGTAGTTGCTGCAACTTTGCAGAAGAGCCAAAGGAAACCACCACGCTATGGTGGTGAGTAATCTGTAACAGTGGCTTGCAGCCCATCTCCCTGCCCATCTTCTCTGACAGCTGGTTGTGTTCTGAAACCATCAGCAAACCACGTGTCTGTCCTTGCTGTGATCCCACAGGGTGCGCGTGTCTGCATCAGTGGCTCTCTTATGCTACAGATGCATAACCTCATCACCTAAAGAAACACTGTTCTGTCTGCAGTCAGTGATTCAGAAAACTGAGATGGGAAAGAAGAGATGAGGAGGAGAAAAGAACCTGCAGCCAAGACCCCAGGACACCATGTGGCAGGCCATCTGGGAGCCTCTGTCCCTGTCGGAGATGCCCAGGTAGGTGCCAGAGAGAGCAGTCCCCACACCCATTTCTGCAAATGTGACCTGGGCCAGAGAAATGTGTAGCAGCCCCATCACAACTCTGAGATCCAAATGGCTCTGAAAGCCCAATATTTGTCAGGACTCATTTGGCTGCCAAACCTGACCACTCATATGATATTTCTACAGAATATTAATGTGTTTAATTACAGAGTTCTGCCCCAGGCCTGCTATGGGTATTATGTAATATATGGCACTCAGATTGCTTATTCTCTTTCTGAAAGGTGAAACAGTTCAAATTCTGAAAACTATCTGGCTTGCTGGTTTTTGGATAAAGGATTATGGACCCCTATTACTGTGAACCCATTTTATCCTCAGACTGTCATAAGGAAAGACAACATACCCCCTTGATAGACACAAAATTGGACAAGAGCAGAATGAAAGAGCAGAGGTTTGAAATAAGTGACAGGGGTAGGGGTTGGCTCACTGCTCTAAATCCCACAACCTGTGGGGCCTTGGGAATGTCATTTAACTTTTCTGAGCCTTGATTTCCTTATCTACCAAACAGAAATAATATCTACCTCCTGTAGTTATTAGGCCATTGAGTACATCCAGAGTAAGTGCTTAATATAAATAAATAAGTTATATTTGATAGACCTTTTTCTCAGACCTTGCCCATGGGGATCCACAGACCAGCTGGTGAGGGAACCACAACTGGATCCAGTGTGGGTGCAGGGATGGGGTGGACCCCAGTTTCGGGAGCCCTGTGCATGAAAAGGGAGGGCATCAAGGACACTTAGTGGTCAGAATCTTGAGTCTCAAGGAACAACTCATACGGGAGATACTGGGATTTGCTTATGAAAGCAATACACCCCCTGTTATGGGTACACCCACAGAACCCTCTTAACAGACTCTGTGTTCCACCCACCACCCAGCCACAATGGTTTTCACTTCTCTTAGGAAGCAGATGGGTTGGCACACTGTGGCTATTGTCTGTCTGCCTTAGGTCTGCATGCCCTGCAGCATGCTGGATGGCCTTCAGCACTGAGGAGGACTAAGCCTAGACCAGTGGGCCCCTTTTAAAGTCCTCTTGACTTGGAGACCCAACTTGCTGCTCTTTGATATAAACATCACTGAAAATAAATCACTAGGATTTTGTCTCTTTTTATGTCTGAACTAGGACTAAAATAATTATGATTGGACATTCCCATGTACCCACAATTCCTACACCCAAGCAGATAATAAAACACTCACCTGACCTCATCTCCCTAGGCTGAAACTCCTCCTCTGGGGGATTTGGCTGCAAGTGGAGGGGGAACTCTATGCCTACCCCAGGGCCAGGCCACTTAGCTCATCAAAGTATCTCCGCTTTGGCCAAGGGCTATTTAGAGTGCAGGTCACATCAAATATTGCTTCACCGTCTAACTGATGGAAAATCAAAGGCAAATGAAGCCCTTTGAAGAACTCTGTCTCTTGGTGCTCAGAAGTTTCCATATTATTATAACCAAAAGTACTCAAGGCTGTCTAGCCTTATCGGGAGGAAAAGCAATTCCAATTTTGACAGAAAAATAAGCCACACAGTAGATTCTTCTAAGCTCTTCCCAGAACTCTAAGCCTTTAGGTATCAGGTGGGAAAGCCATTCTGATTGTCAGACCATCCTAACCCTAACACCCTCGGCTTCACCCAGCCCCCACCCTGCCCATCACACAGAGCCAGGAGGTTGTGAGCAGGCTGTCCCCTTGAAAGTGGCCAGGTGACATGGATCCCAGCTTGGGACCTGGCTTGAGGTGCAGGAGGGGAACACACTGTACTTAGTGTGTTTCGTATGTTCTAGGTGGCATCCCTTTTCCAGGTGAGCAAATTCTTGGCTTTTACTTTGCTTTTGCATCTCAAAGACCTTTCATCCATTCAGTCAATATTACCACACTGGTATAGGCATAGAATAAACTCAGGATACAGCATTGTCATGCCCTTGTGGAGCTGACTTGAAGCAGAGAGAGACAGACACTAAAGAGCAAACTTAATAATCAATGAGAAAGCCTCTGAGAAGAAGGTAGTGCTGCGGAATAGGAACCAGGATTGGGAGTTCTGGGGGTGGGGGAGAGTTGAGTATTTGGGTGAGACAGGTAGTTTATTAGAAGGTTCTTTGGGGTTCTCCAGAGAAACAACCAATACTAAGGGTAGGTGGGTGAGTGGATGGATGGATGGATGATGGATGGATGGATAGATAGATAGAGAATTGGCCTATGTAATTATGCAGGCTAAGAAGTCCCACCACCTGCTGTAAGCAAGCTGGAGGCCCAGGAAAGTTAATGATATGGTTCTAGTCTGAGTCCAAAGGCTGAAAAGCAGGGGAACTGATGGTGTAAGTCCAATTTGAATGCAGCAGACCAATGTCCTAGCTCAGACTGTCAGGCAGAGAGCCAATTCTTCCTCTGCCTTTTGGTTCTATTCAGCCCTTAGTGGACTGGGTGAGGCCCATCCACATTGGGAGAACTTCTGCTTTGTTCAGTTTACTTGTTCAAATGCTAATTGCATCCAGAAAGACACATTCAGACACATTCAGAAATAATGTTTCGGCGAAATCTGGGTACCTCATGGCCTGGTCATGTTGACATAAAATTAACCACACAAGTCACACAATGCCAGCCAGACAGGCTGGTTCAGGGATCTCTCCCAGTAGACCCCTATTAGGCTCTGCACTCCCATCATACTCTGTGCCAGACATGTGGGGTGGGAGCTGAAGATCTTTCTGGAGAATAGATGACAGAGTTTCTGCTTTGTTCTCTGATGCCAAGGGCCTGCTCCATGACCACTTCCTACTTCAGCTTCAGGCATGTTGCTCTCTTGGATATGAACGTGCCCACACTCCTCAGTAGTCAGCCTCCTCCTCCACTTGTAAACTGCTGCCTTCTCCCAGTTCAGGTGCGTGGTTAGTTTCTCAGGATCCCAAACTCTTTGACAGTGCTCTGAGCCTTGCTTCCCCTGCACTGACAGATAGGATCCCTAGACAAGCTCTTCCCTCCTCTACTGGTAACCCTCATACCTGCCACATACCCCTTCATCACTGTGCCCCCTACAGCCCAGGGCTCTGAGACCTTGGGTCTGTGTTCGGGATGTCTTGCTGCTGTTGCAGGAGGTTGGGACCCATTCAGCCCATTGGCAGTTTTCTTTGTTTTGAACAGCAAGGGGGGCAGGGGTGGGGGACTAAGCACTTAAAGACCAGATTATGTTCTTATTTTTTCCATAGATATTTATTCCAAAATAAAAACATAAAAATTTAAGCAAATTATTACAAATTATTTAGATTTAGCATGGCTTGCTTGGGTTTTTTAATTGCAACAACTTAAAGAAGAGATTTTTTTCAATTCAATAAATAGAATAAATAATATTTCATCCTCATATTTTGCCTCTCATCTGTTGTTTCTGGAAATTTTCCAAGAGACTCTTCAGGAAAGTCAGCGTGTTGCCTGATGTGGCTGGTTTGCATGGCTGGTCACAGGAAAAAAACTGAGGATAAAAGTTCGCACAGTGATTAAAACAGCAGAGAACTGGCAATCCCAACAACTTCCCTGCTCAGAGCAGGGTGAAGGTGGAGTGTCAGTGGGAGGTGGGGGGGGTGAAGGGGGCAACCTGCAGGGGGTGCCAGACACAGAGCAAATGAATGGGGAAGTCCACGGCTACTCCACTGTGTAGACAGAGCAGGTGGCTGACTTTGTGGTAGGATTTCAAGGGCCCAAGACACACACACACACACACACACACCCCATTAGAGGAAATCTTTTCATGGGACAACTTGTAACCTAAAGTTTTGTTTGGTTTGGTTCTTCCAAGAGCATTTTATAGCCCAGTGGCTAAAAAGGGGGATCTTAATGACTTACAGGGATCACATAGACCAGGGTTCAAATCTCATCTCTGCCTTAAGCAGATTACTTTACCTGACTGAGCTTCAATTTTCATAAACCCAACAATTGCCCCAAAGGAAGATATTCAATGAAATAGTATCTATTAAACACTTAGGACTGAAAACTGTGGATACTAGAAACATGTGCAGTTAAATCATGGCATGAAGAGCCTCCTTGCCTCCTGTGGTGTCATGTGGAGATGCTTACACCTGAATAGTTCACCCCACTCCTTCCCTCCAGGGGTGCAGGAATGTACTGAAAAGAATGTGTGCAGATGGGCATTTAGTGCCGCTGGATCTGGTGTCTAGTCCTTTAAATACCTCCTTAGCCAATTGAAAAAAATATCTTTAACTTATAGGCCACAATGCCCACTAGGTTAGCAAATCAAATCTCTAGAATGTTCTCATATTATGTAAGCTCTTGCCCTGATTCTCTAGATTTTAGCTCCTAATTAAAATCAGGATGGATTCTTTCATATTTAGTGGGCAACGAGAAATAAATGGCTACCTAAGTGTGTTTTTTTTAAACCAAGGGAATCACAGGCTTCTCTGGGACAGATTCACCTGAATGCTGCTGTGCTGATTCCATTCATAGATGTCCCTTATCAACCTGGAGCTACCAATTTCAACTCTACCAACTATCATCCTTTCTCTTTCAGATAGAGTTGGCATCAACATTCTCATAAAAGTAACTAATTAAAATAATAAGTAATCAAAACAAATCACAAATAAAAGCAAACTCACTTGACACTTGTTGTACTTTAAGTTCATTACTGTTTTTTTGACCATATTTAAAATCAGTAAGGATGATACGCTGGTTTTCTCTGTGGCATTGATCATCTGTGCCAGACCCTCCTGGAAGCATGGTGTGGTGCAGTTGTCCTAGTGAATAATAAGGATTTATGAAAAGAAACATTCAGAAGACAGTTCTGAGAAGGAATCACAGAGGGAATACTTTTAGGTGCTATTTTAATTTAATCACTTTAACCCAAACTGGCATTATTTATAGACAGGATGCCTGTCAGTCTAGGAAATAATCTTCAAGGTGAGGCTGATTCTCCATAGTAATGTCCCTGGGATTTCCATCCAGGGTACAAGGGGCCCAGGGAAAACAGTCAGTCTTGTCTCCTTTCCATCCAGTGGTCGCCTGCCCCCAGTTTTGCAATAGCTTGTTTGAAAGTACAGAGAAAGGAAAGGTCTTTTCACATTAAGCTGTTGATATGTACCAAGTGAATACAGCCAGCGTTTCGGCAGTAGCTACGAGAGTGGACTATAAACCAAGGGGGACAGGCTGGCCTATATAAATGAGGAGCCCTTTCCTTTCCTCATCTAATCTGGGGACCATGATGGAGTAAAATGTCTGACCTCAGCTGGGCGAGCAGCTAGGATTCTTCAGGCCTTGCTGGTGAGAGAGCAAAGCTCTGTGCCTTGAATAAGTGCTTCCTAACCAGAAACCCCTGCTACTCAGCCCTTGCTCTCTGCCAAAGGGACTCCTTTTTACTTCCCTGAACTCATAACCTCAGATGCTCTGTTCTCCCAGAAGGCAGTACTCTAACTATGCAATACTCAGCTAAATAGACAACAGGAAGGAAGGGAGGGAGGGAGAAGGCATAGCACACAGCTTGTGCCAGAGGAAAGAAAAAGCGTTGTTTTTTTATTTATTGTCTTGCAACACCAACATTATTGGCAAATCAATTACAAAGCAATACAATTTAAGCTGTGCCATTTGTTACCTTCTCCTTTCCAGTTTGATTTTATTGTGCACATGGCCACTGATCTAGAAAGATGTTCAAGATTCTTTTTCAAATATTGAAAAGTATTCAAACTTCTCCAGGGGTATAAAGCCCATTAATTATGAAGAAATTTATGTAGTCTCAAATTTCAAGAGTCTGATTTTAAAAGGAAATGCTAACCTGTGACAATTGCAATAAAGTAACTCTTTCTTATCTATCAAATAAAGCCATTTCTTTTTACTTAAAAAGCTGAAAATAACTAGATCAAGATTTTTTTTATTGTACTTACAGGAGGGATGGGCAGGCACAAGCAATCAGTCACCTGAAAAAGAAATTTCAAAGTGAAGATTCTATATATGAACATTAAAATTAGTTTGGAAAGTTCTTAAAAGAGCATTTACTCACATTGGTGCTGCAGCTGCATCTGGAGGCATTTTCCTAAAGTAAGTAAAGAGACAAGAACCCATCTGGTTGGTGCATTTTTCCTCTAAGTCACTTAAATTTTCCATTACTGTATTTCCTGCTAGCTCCCTTCCCTGAAACTTACCTGTGCTTCATTGATGAGGAACCCAATGTTGCGAATGCCGTGGCTGGTTGGGCATTTCTGACTGGTTACAGAGCAGAAGAGCAGGACAGAGGCAACGATCACAGCAGAGAGCATCTTGACTAGGAGCTGGGACTTTGCCTGCAGACGCCCTCAAATCGCTGTATTTAAAGCTCCCTTGCTAACTTGGAAAAACCCTGACATCAAAATGATACCAAGTGCCCACTTTTTCTCTGTAAGTTTGGGTCACTTCAAATTGAAAAATAGATTTATTTATTTACGTATAACTGAGTCACTTGGCAATTGCTATATGACATCATGCCGGGAAATATTCCTCAGTAAAGATGTTTTTCAAGAAGCTGGGTATGGAGATGCTGAAGGAAAGGTTAAAGATCTTAAAACCATGTATATGTTTAAGGTAAAGATTCTGGTTGTAAGAGTTCAGATACTTTCCATGAAAGTCCAGTCTGTATTTTCCCTTTTTACTTTATCAGAAATGCTGATGGAGTAGCCAGTCACAGGTATTCTGATGAAAGAGAGGATGAGGGCAGGGGGAGAGTGGAGGAGGAGAGGGAGAGCAGGAAAGCTATTCTGTTGTCTGGCCTTTTGCTACCTTGCTCTTTGCAAGCTGAATATTGTCATTGCAACCTCAAATCTTGACAACTCAAATTTTACTCTTGGGGTCAGAGTCTCCACCTCATTCAAATTCATCTTTGTGCCAGTATTCCTCTTATTAGTGCTTGAAATAGGATAATAACCAACATTTATTGAGCACTTAATACATGGAAGTCACAATTCTAGCATTTTAGAGAAATTAAGCCATGTAAGACATATAGCCACCAAATGAGATAGGTACTAATTTGTTATCTCTAATTATCACTCTTTATTTTTTCTAAGATTTATTTATTTATGCATACAAGAACTGGGGTACAGGCCAGAGGTGTGAGAGATGAGAGGATTCACCAGAGACAGAGTGGGGAACAGAACAGGCAGACTGACTGAAATACACTGCTGAGGGGAGCAGCGGGTGAGTCAGGAGAGGTCTGCTGTACCATGTGGATAGCTCCCCAGCCAGGGATTGAACTTGTGCAGCAGAGGCTGCAGAGAGCTTCACAGTGCTGCACTTAACCCCTTGCACCACCAGGAAGGCCCCCCATTTTTTACCCTTTAAAACACCATCTATATCTTAGCTTCTGGCTCTTTGAAGGGACTATTCTTATCACCATAACCTAGAAAGCAGTCTTCCTATAGTCCTGTGAGGGAAGAAGTATGATTATCCCCATTATTTTATAGATGGGGAAACTGAAGCACAGAGAGGCAAGGAATTTGCCCAGAGTCACACAATCAGGAAGCAACAAAATTTGTATTAAAATTTAGAGTCTAGCTCCCAGGTTGAGCCCCTAATCTTCTTGCTTTCCTACTTTTCTGTGGATTTTATGTCTGCATTTCAGAATCAACTGCCCAGCATCTAATTTACTCCTAGATCCTCAGAATTTGGACAGTTCTCTTCAAATTTGTAGAATTAAAACATTAATTTGAAAAGTAGTTTTTGCAATAGTAAGAAAGATGCACGTAAACAGAGACTTCCTAAGACCTTGAATCTAGTTTCTAGGGGCCTTAGCTAGAGTTGTGAGTGCCAAAGCAATGATATCTTCAGAAAAAGTGGGCTTCTCTTACTCAGCTGTTTGAGTTGTAGTAGCCGTAAGGTTTTCTCATGCCTGTTGTAGAGGTGTGTGGCGATCTTGCATTCGTTCCTTAGGAGTGATAATGGACCTTCAGTGTTTGACTGCATTATGGGGAGGGAGTATCTTGGTGGAAAACAAGGTAAAAAGAAATTGGCTTTTTTACTAAATTCCACAAATCCTCTCCCAGATCTTCCTTCTATGCCTGTAGGCACTAAGAAGAAGGTTCAGTGGCCTCTTGGTCTATGGCAAGTCCTTGTTACATAATCTGGTATCTATGCTCTTTCCTTGTTGATAGAATCTTGATTAGTATGAGGTGACAATGTACCCAGGCAAGCACCTTTCTTGTTGCTACAGGTCACTATGTGACATGTTCTGATCAATGCATCTTTTTTTGCTTTCCTGGCAATAGGGAACAAAAGTAGCTGAAACTTGCCCTTACTTTATTTCAATTTGGACATAGATGTGATGGCAGGAGCTTCAGCAGCCATCTTGCAAGCATGCAGGAATAGATAAGAGAGAGTTGCACTAATAGTGACATTCTACATAAATAGAAAATAATCATAAAAACCATGAGAGCAACAATAAAAAGTAACAATAAGATTATAATAATGGTACTAAATTTTAACTAGCTATCACTGCCTACTGAAGACCCTGAGTCTTGAAACTCAGTAAAAACAGGAAGTTCTTATCTATATGGAAGTTAGCATGTGCTGAAGAGATATTAAAGATGTGTTAGCATCAGATTGAAGTTTTTCTCCTGACATCATTGGAAGACGTAAAGAGACTTGGAAAGACAATCATCTTCTAACTAGGTGAATCAATACTATTTAATGCTATATGTGTGAACCTTTGAAGTCATTCCACTATCAGGTTTGCTTCTCACACTGAGTAAAACACTGTACAGATGAGGCAATACCCAGGAAGAAAAATGGACTAGTCCAAAACCATATATCTAGTTACAAGTGGGGTAATATATGTGCAGTGGTTAAGACCAGTGACCCGATAATCAGACCTCCTGGGTTCAAGTGTTGCTGCTATCATTTGTTAGCTGCATGTCCCAGCTCGCATTTCCTAATTGTGAAACAAGGATGGGATGTGGAAAATGGGGATGGGCCTACCTCAGGGATTCTAGAAAATATTAAAAGAGATGTTTGCTTGGTGTTTAACATGGATTAAGTAGCTTCCATGGAAATTTTTCGGGGAGATGTAGTCAAGTCAGGGTCAATAAACTTAAACTTACCTTGCCAGATTTAGTGTAAGGCCTGGCAAGATAAGGATAGCTTGTAACTTTCAAATTTTTTTTCTTTTTAATAACAAAGAAAAAAGTGTGACAAATTGCATATAATCTATAAGCCTATATCTGCCCCTGTACAAAGAACTTGTGCCTACCCCTGTTCTAGTTCATATGGATGGTGACATCATCTATTATCTTATCCCTTAGAAAGATTAGAGCTAGGATTTGGTGGCTCAAATATCTCTTTTCCCATTGTCCTGGTTATTCAGTTAAGGCCTCAGTACAGAGGGAAAAGGAGAGGGGGCCCTGGAATCATCAGCCATTAGATTCTCCCAAGTGTTGGAAGCCCATCACTTCCTGCAGTATCTGTAGGGTGAACAGTATGGTCCCATGAGCCAAAGGTCTTCTCTTGGTGTAGCCAGATACTTTTAAAGGTATCGCAGGTACGTCCCAGTTTACTAGGAAGAATCACACATTGAAATCAGAAGAAAAATGGATAGACTAACATTCCTTCTCCCTGGGCCAAGTCTTGGCCTAGCCAGCTGGACTTGGGTCACCCACCCCTACCCAACCCAACAGCTGGTGAATAGTATGGCGATCAGTGGACACTGATGTCCTTGGGCAGGTTACTTAGCCTTTTTAAGCATCAGCGTAGCATAAACCACACAGGAATCTGAGGATCACCCAGCCCTTTTTTTTTAATAGAATGATTAGATTATTCCATTTGAGATACTTTCTCAGCAATGAACCACACTTCCATTTGGAAATCTGGTCTGGTCCGGTGTGGGTTCAACTTATGCTCCTCTCTCCTCCTTACCTACTGCCCTCCAGTCAGCTTGGTTTCTTTCTCTTTCCAACTTGCTCTTGCTAAGTTCTGCCTGGAGTGCCTTCCTCAGCTCTTCCGGGTATGGCCGAGACTCATCTTTCTGTTCTGAACTTAAAGGCCACCTCCTCCATGAAGCCCTCTCTGAGCACAATCATCATTGCGATATGAATGGGTCTGTTGTATTGTCTATTTGTCCAAGTAGGATGTTTAGTTCCACAAACACCAGTACAATTGACTCATTCATCATCGTGTTTTCCCAGGGCATGATCTGTAAAATGCTCAGGAATTATTGGTTAAATAAATGAATGATGAATACATCTAATTTTGTAAAAATCTATTAAATTTATGTTTTTTATGAAATAATCAATACATATGGGTCAGTAATAAAAAGCAGATATAACATATGTCTAAAACTGGGCAAGGAAAACTTTGGAAGAGTGATTAAGTAATGAATAAATCCTACTGTTTTGTAATCCTTGGGATTTTTAAAGTGCTTTTCAATCGTCTCTCCCTTTCAGTTCTCATAGTCACTGCAGGAAGAGCATTTTGGGTTTGGGAAGTCCAACTCTGTAAAGGATGAAACAGAGAGAGAGTTTGGTGACAATTCTTGACAATTCTTTCCCATTTCCCCACCCACTCAGTTATGAAAAAGAAAAGATTTGAGAGTATTTAAATGTAGCTCTGCAGTTCAAAAACACCATTGAAACGGCAGATGTTTATCTAGGTAAAGTCTACAACTTTTGAGGTTTAGATTCTAGGATTTATTTCAATACAAGAATGTAAGTATGCAAATGATCTCTTACAGAGGAAATACACCAAGCTCAGAAATTAATTACTCATCTATTTTAAATATCAAGAAGATTGGAGAGTAGAATGCATATCAAGATTTAGCATAGATAACATATTTTACAATAAATGACAAATGACAACACCTAAACATTTATTTCTTTCCAAAGATAAAGTTTGACATTTTTATTTTGTGATAAAAACTCATGTGTCATGGATTCTATAGGAATAAAACAAAATGGTTATTTGTTCTTGGAAGTCACAGCACAAAATGACATATGCACACATACATAAAAGGTCCAGAATTTCTAAGTAAAACCCATTCTCCCTTTTTCTCTCAATAGCCAAGATATAACTAGTTATGAGAATCATCAAGCACTAATCTAAACATTTATTTCTAGGTCAGTATTTCCCATCCAGCTGTGATGGGGCAAACCCCACTAAATACACAGTCCTCCCTGAAGGAGCTTCCCTCCTACAGAGGGTGATTGCTGGCTGGATGCCCTAAACCTCTCCCCTGAAATCCCTCCTAAAGCAAATTCTGAGTTTCACAGACCCGGAGCCCTACTGCTCCCAGTTTATCTCCTGTGCAGTTTCCAGAGCCCCAA